GACCTGGTTTAGTCCTGGTTTAGACCTGGTTTAGACCTGGTTTAGTTTAGACCTGGTTTAGACTTTGTTTAGACCTGGTTTAGACCTGGTTTTAGACCTTGGTTTAGACCTGGTTTAGACCTGGTTTAGACTTTGTTTAGACCTGGTTTAGACCTGGTTTAGACCTGGTTTAGACCTGGTTTAGACCTGGTTTAGACCTGGTTTAGACCTGGTTTAGACTTTGTTTAGACCTGGTTTAGACCTGGTTTAGACCTGGTTTAGACTTTGTTTAGACCTGGTTTAGACCTGGTTTAGAGCTGGTTTAGACCTGGTTTAGACTTTGTTTAGACCTGGTTTAGACTTTGTTTAGACCTGGTTTAGACTTGTTTAGACTTGGTTTAGACTTTGTTTAGACCTGGTTTAGACTTTGTTTAGACCTGGTTTAGACTTTGTTTAGACCTGGTTTAGACCTGGTTTAGACCTGGTTTAGACCTGGTTTAGACCTGATGTAGTCCTGGTTTAGTCTTATTTTATTCCAGATTTTGATCAAATTGGTCCAAAATAGTGACACCAGGGACATTTCTTGTATAAAACTGGGACAAATCAGTGTTTTTGTATAAATCTGCGGGGACAGGGGACACAGGACAGTTTTGAGTCGTGTCCTGGGTAAATGGAGAACACCTGGTCACACTAGTCGCAGCATGTACTGTATGTTTACACGCTGACAAAATGGAGGGGGCGTTTTTTTGTTTTGTCTTTGTTCCTGGACGACGTGTGGACAGATACAGACCCAGTCCAAACAAAGCAGGACGCGTGGACATAAAGGACGGTCTTATCTGTCCAACACAGCCTGTTTGGGAGTCTTACAATTTATAGGACGCTCAAAAGGTCCAATATTACGCAAAACTGACGGCATTGTAAAGCTGCATTGTGTAACTTTTCTGCTGGAAGGTTTGTCAAATGCTTTTTAAGCTGTTAAAGCACCTGTAAATGAATAAATGTTTTGTTTCGTTCACACATTTTTAATTCATTTGGGATTATTAGACTGTCTGCATCTCCAAAGCTCAAAATGCTCTGTTGCACCTTGTGATGTCATCAAGTGGTAGATTTAATGGTCCAGGACTAGACCAGGAGATAAACCAGGACGAAACAACTAAAAACAAATTAGAACTAAACCAAGACTAAAACAGGACTAAAATAAGACTGGACCAGGACTAACCAGAACTAAACCAGGAGTTAAAACTAGGAACAAACCCAGGACTAGAACAGGACTAAATCAGGACTAAACTAGGACCAGACCAGGACAAACCACAGTTAAACCTGTAGCTAAACCAGGAACAAACCAGGACTAAACCAGGACTAGAACAGGTCTAAACTAGAAGGAGACCAGCAATAGGCCGGGACAAAACTAGGACTAAATTAGGACTAAACCAGTACTAAACCAGGACTAAACCAGTACTAAACCAGGACTAGACCAGGACTAAACAGGACTAAACAGGACTAGAACAGGCTAAACTAGAAGGAGACCAGAATAGGACAAAACTAGGACTAAATTAGGACTAAACCAGTACTAAACCAGGACTAAACCAGACTAAACCAGGACTACACCAGACCAGGACTAAACCAGACCAGGACTAAACAGGACTAACCAGGACTAAACCAGGACTAAACCAGGACTAAACCAGACTAACCAGGACTAAACCAGGACTAAACCAGACTAAACCAGGACTAGACCAGACTAAACCAGGACTAACCAGGACTAAACCAGGACTAGACCAGAAGGACTAAAGACCAGGACTAAACCAGGACTAGACCAGGACTAAACCAGGACTAAACCAGGACTAGACCAAGACTAAACCAGGGCTAGACCAGGACTGGACCAGGACTAAACCAGGACTAGACCAGGACTGGACCAGGACTAAACCAGGACTAGACCAGGACTGGACCAGGACTAAACCAGGACTAACCAGGACTGGACCAGGACTAAACCAGGACTAAACCAGGACTAGACCAGGACTAGACCAGGACTAGACCAGGACTGGACCAGGACTAAACCAGGACTAGACCAGGACTAGGACCAGGACTAAACCAGGACTAGACCAGGACTGGACCAGGACTAAACCAGGACTAGACCAGGACTGGACCAGGACTAAACCAGGACTAAACCAGGACTAGACCAGGACTAAACCAGGGCTAGACCAGGACTGGACCAGGACTAAACCAGGACTAAACCAGGACTGGACCAGGACTAAACCAGGACTAAACCAGGACTAAACCAGGACTGGACAGGACCAGGACTAAACCAGGACTAAACCAGGACTAACCAGGACTGGACCAGGACCAGGACTAAACCAGGACTAAACCAGGACTAAACCAGGACTAGACCAGGGACTAGACCAGGACTAGGACTAAACCAGGACTAAACCAGGACTAAACCAGGACTAAACCAGGACTAAACCAGGACTAAACCATGTTCTAATGTTGTTTTCTTCTCAAAAATCAGATCTGAACTTGTTTTTTGTTTCATTCACACACAGACCTGTCATTTTTTTTTTTTACCAGGAATGTTCCAAAATAAATCATTAATCTCATCTATCTCCATGACGATAAGTAGAAACGAAAGCAGGCCGAGATCCAGGTCAGATCTGTGCAGAGGCGTCTAAGTGTATCATAAGAACGCCTCTTTATCATGGTATTTTTAAACAATAAAAACACCTGTAATGGAATAAACACAAAACAGACAAGTTGAAAATTGTGCCGTGGACCCTCTACCAGAAAAGTTACGCAATGCACCTTTAAATAAACCGTACCAGGCCGTTTTGAGGCTTCCAAAACAGTGTCCTCCTCTTTAGCTGGAGGACTACGAGAAAGAACGCAGCAGCTCAAGTCGACAAAAAGCAGATATAAACAGAAAATGGCCTCACCAAACTCTGACCCGACTCTTGATCTTGTGATAAAACGCAGTAAATGTTTTCTCATGGAAGGTTCGTTAAAGCTTTTCTCCATGGAGATGTTATCGCTTTGTCTGGAATGTTTCGCAGTACGGCGTTAAACCTTTCTATCTTCAAGGAGACCAAACCAGACCGAGTTACAGGTCAGATCTGCGGAGAGGCGACCCCGCTCACCGTCAGAATAATGTTTTTCAAGGTATTTTTGAGCTGTAAAACTACCTGGGATTGAATAAACGTAAGGTAGAGCTGTTTAATGTCACACTGTGGAACATTCTAGACAAAGCGATGGCATCTTCAAGGACAAGAGGCAGACACTAGACACTTCAGCAGAAATGTTACATAATGTGCCTTTAAATGTTTGTGATAGAGGTCTAAACTAAGATTTTGTCCATAAACAGACCAGGACTAAAGCAGGACTAAAGCAAAACTAAACCAGGACTAAAGCAAAACTAAACCAGGACTTGACCAGGACTAAAGCAAAACTAAACCAGGACTAAAGCAAAACTAAACCAGGACTAAACCAGGACTAAAGCAAAACTAAACCAGGACTAAACCAGGACTAAAGCAAAACTAAACCAGGACTAAAGCAAAACTAAACCAGGACTAAACCAAAACTAAACCAGGACTAAAGCAAAACTAAACCAGGACTAAACCAGGACTAAAGCAAAACTAAACCAGGACTAAAGCAAAACTAAACCAGGACTAAACCAGGACTAAAGCAAAACTAAACCAGGACTTGACCAGGACTAAACCAGGACTTGACCAGGACTAAACCAGGACTAAACCAGGATTAGACTAGCACAAGACCAGGACTAAATCAGGGCTAAACCAGGACTAAACTAGAACACCAGACAAGGACTAACCAGGAATAAACCAAAACTAAACCACAACAAAACCAGGAGCTAAACTAGGAACAAGACAGGATTAAAGGAGGACTAAAGACCAGACAAGGACAAACCAGGACTAATCCAGAACTAAACCAGAAGCTAAATTAGGAAGCCAGGACTAAACCAGGACTAGACCAGGACTAAAGCAGGACGAGACCAGGACTAGACCAAGACTAGACTGGGACTAAACCAGGAGCTGAATCAGGACTAAACCAGGACTAAACCAGGACTAGACCAGGACTAGAGCAGACCTAAACCAGGACTAAACTAGGACTAACCAGGACTAGAGCAGACCTAAACCAGGACTAAACCAGGATTAGAGCCGGTCTAGACCAAGAACAAACCAGGAGCTAAATTAGGAACAAGCCAGGACTAAACCAGGACTAGACCAGGACTAGACCAGGAATAGGCCAGGACAAAACCAGGACTGAATCGGGACTATACCAGGACTAAAGCAGGATGAGACCGGGACTAGATCAAGACTAGACCAGGAGCTAAACCAGGAGCTGAATCAGGACTAAACCAAGACTAGACCAGAATTAGACAGTTGCTCAATCAGGACTAAACCAGGACTAGACCAGGACTAGAGCAGACCTAAACCAGTACTAAAATAGAACTAAACTAGGAGCTAAACCAGGACTAAACTAGACTAACCAGGACTAGACCAGGAGCTAAACCAGGACAAAACTAGGACTAAACCAGGATTAGAGCAGGACTAGACCAGGAACAAACCAGGAGCTAAACCAGGACTAAACCAGAGCTAAACCAGGAGCTAAATTAGGAACAAGCCAGGACTAAACCAGGACTAGATCAGGACTAGACCAGGACTAGGCCAGGACTAAACCAGGACAAAACCAGGACTGAATCGGGACTAAACCAGGACTAAAGCAGGACGAGACCGGGAATAGACCAAGACTAGACCAGGAGCTGAATCAGGACTAAACCAAGACTAGACCAGAACTAGACAGTTGCTCAAGTAGGACTAAACCAGGACCAAGATTAGACCATTACTATACCAGAACTAGACTAAGACTAGACCAGGACTGGCTCAGAACTGGCCCAAGACTAAACTAAAAACCAAAGTAAACCAAAAAAACCAAATCAAATCTACCAGAACTAAACTAAACAACGATCAAAACATGACCCGCGATAACCCCGTGTCATCTCCCCCCATTTTCTCCAGCCCAGATCCTGCCCTCCGTCTCCGCTTGCGACCCGGGCCTCTACCGGGAGATGATCGGGAGTTTCTGCATGACTAACTTCGACGCAGACATGTCATCCCTGGACCGCCGGCTCTGGTGCAGCTGGAGCGACACAATGGGGTGAGTTCATGCGCGAGAAACGGTATTTGCTTTGAGCGAAGCGGCGACGGACGCGCAGACGAGCTAATGGAGCCGGCGAGCGCCAATTAACGAAGAACAAGAGCGATAACGAAGCGCTCGGAATGTACGCCTTTGTTTGCTCATGTCCGCACACAATATGTTCGTTTGGGTCGGAATGTAACACCTCTTCTGTGACTACTACCACTACTGCATCTGACTACTACCACTACTATTACTTTAACTGCTGATACTGCCACAATTACTTCTTAATACCTCTACTGCTACTACTACTACTACTTTTACTACTATTACCTCTAGTACTGCCATTTCTACAGCTGTCGTCACCACTACTTCAACTACTATAATTACTACAACTATTAGTACTACTACCACCTCTACTTCAACTACTGTTACTACAATTATCAGTACTACTATAACCTCTACTTTCACTACTTCAGCCACCAGCACTACTACAGCTACTACTGACCACAACTACTGCTACTACTTCGACAACAATCACAGCTACTACTTATACCTCAACTGTTGACACTATTACTGCAACTTGTACTACTACAACCATGACCACTACTACAACTACTACTTCCAACAGATAATTACCACTACTACCACTACCACCACTACAAACTTTATTATTACTATGATTACTACAAACATTATGATTACTACGATTACTACAAACATTATTATTACTACGATTACTACAAACATTATTATAACTACGATTACTACAAACATTATCATTACTACGATTACTACAAACATTATTATTACTACGATTACTAAAAACATTATTATTACTACTACAACTACTGCAAACATTATTATTACTACTACTACTACTACTACTACTACTACTACAAACATTACTACTACTACTACTACTATTACTACTACTACAAACATTACTACTACTACTACTATTACTACTTCTAGTACTACAACAAACATTATTATTACTACTACTACTGCTACTACAACAAACATTATTATTACTACTACTACTACTACAAACATTATTATTACTGCTACCACTACTACTACACACATTATTATTATTATTATTACTACTACTACTGATACCGCCACAGCTACTTCTTACTACTTCTTAATACCTCTACTGCTACTACTACTACTACTTTTACTATTACCTCTAGCACTGCCATTTCTACAGCTGCCTTCACCACTACTTCAACTACTATTACTACAATTATCAGTACTACTATCACCTCTACTTTCACTGCTTCAGCCACCAGCACTACTACAGCTACTACTACTACTACTACAAACATTACTATAACTACTACTACTACTACTATTACTACTACTGCTACTGCTACTACTACTACTACTTCTACTACTTCTACAACTATCGTCACTATTACTTCAACTACTATTATTACTACAACTAGCAGTACTACTATCACTTCTACTTTCACTACTTCAACCATCAGCACTACTACAGCTACTACTTCCAACAGCTAACACTGCTACTACTTCCAACAACTACTACTGCTACTACTTCCAACAACTACTACTGCTACTACTTCCAAGAACTACTACTGCTACTACTTCCAACAACTACTACTGCTACTACTTCCAACAACTACTACTGCTACTACTTCCAACAACTACTACTGCTACTACTTCCAACAACTACTACTGCTACTACTTCCAACAACTACTACTGCTACTACTTCAACAACGATCGCAACTACTACCTATACCTCAACTATTGACACTACTGCTGCTACTACTAATACTACTAGCTCAATTGCTACTAACACTATGACTGTTATTTGTACTACTGTCTCTACCATCCACACTACTACAGCCACTACTTCCAACAACAACCGCTGCTACTACAACTACTCACTCCTACTTCAACTACTATTACTACAACTATCAGTACTACTATCACCTCTACTTTCACTATTTCAACCACCAGCACTACTACAGCTACTACTACTGACCACAACTACTACTACTACTGCTACTGCTACTACTACTACTATTACTACTACTACTAGCTAGCTTAACTGCTACTAACACTATGACTGCTATTTGTACTACTGTCTCTACTTCCACTACTTCAACCATCCACACTACTACAGCTACTACTTCCGACAACAACAACTGCTACTACAACTACCCACTCCTTCTTCAACTACTATTACTACAACAATCTGTACTACTGCTACCTCTACTTTCACTACTTCAACCACCAGCACTACTATAGCTACTACTGACCACAACTACTGCTACTACTTCCAACATCTACAACTGCTACTACTTCCGACAACGATCGCAACTACTACCTATACCTCAACTATTGACACTGCTACTACTACTACTACTACTACTACTACTGCTACTGCTACTGCTACTACTACTACTACTATTACTACTACTACTAGCTCAGCTCAACTGCTACTAACACTGTGATTGCTATTTGTACTATTGTTTCTACTTCTACTACTTCAACCATCCACACTACTACAGCTACTACTTCTGACAACAACCACTGCTACTACAACATGACGACTACTACGACTACCATGACTACTACTACTACTACTACCACTACCACTACTACTACGACAATGACTACCTGACTACTACTACCATGACGACTACTACTACTACTACTACGAGTACTACGACTACTACCATGACTACTACTACTACAACTATTACAATGACAACGACTACTACTATTAAATCTACTACCATGATTACTACTACTACTACTACTACTACGACTACCATGACTACTAATACTACATGACTACTACCATAACTACTACTACTACGACTACTACACGACTACTACCATGACAACGATTACTACCATGACTACTACTACTACAACTACCATGACTATTACTACTACGACTACTGCTACGACTACTACCATGATGACGACGACTACTACTACTACTACTACTACTACACTATGACAACTTCTATTATTACTATTCCACTTGGATGGGTACTTGCTCATTGTATTTGTGTATTCTTTTATGATGTCATCTTATTATTGACAGTTGTTGCCCACTTGGAGCCCGTTGCAGTACAGTCATGTAGCGTACCCAGGCCCAGAATACTTCAAAACAAACTCTGTGCCAATCGCAGGATGAGTCATAGAAGTAACAGGAAACACAATAAGAAGTACAGACAAAAATACCACTTTATATAAGAGACCTCTGTGATCAGATAGTGTCCAAAATTATCCTTTTTCTATGTGTTTACAGCGGGAGGATTATGCAACATTTTGAAGCTTTCTACCGTTACAACGTTGTTCTCTCTTCCAAAACATGCCTGAAGAGGTTTGAGATGTCATCCATGCATGTTTGAGTCATTAAGTGATCTCTCCCGGGCACTATTTGGACCCTCCTTATGGTTATCTGTCAGGTTTTGTACAAGGCTCCGCCCACAAAACAACAATTCTCTGTAAATACACAAAAACATGATACACGGCAACTTGAAAACAAACCTGATGCGATGTGCAGTAGTTTCATTTGCGGAAGGGCACTGATTGTGTTGTGGAGGTGCTCTGAAGGGGTGAGTGACTTAGCACGGAGAGCAAAGGGAGGGGAGACTCAGAATACATTGTTTTCAGCAAATATTGAATTTTTCTGTTTATTCCATAAGCAATGTATTGAAACACAGTTAAGAAGGTACGTTGAAAAAGAGTCTCAGATAATTTATTCATTCATTAATTTGTCTTAATTAAAATTTATAAATGATATTTTGATTCATTCACATTTACAGTTAAAACTTTTTTTCGTATGCAGTTGTATTCAACTCTAAGCAGTGATTTAAAGGTGCATTGTGTAACTTTTCTGGTGAAGTTTCATTACTACAACTATCAGTACCACTACCACCTCTACTTCTCTACTTCAACTAATACTTCCGACAACTACCACTGCTACTACTTCGACAACGATCACAACAACTACTGTAGTGTACCACTGCTACTACAATACTCCTACTACTTCTACTACTACCACCTTTACTACCACCACTACAACTACCACTACTACTACTACCACTACTACTAGCTCAACTGCTACTAACATAATGACTGCTACTTTTACTACCTCTGCTTCCACTACTACAACAATCATCACTACTACTACTGCTGCTGCTATTACTACTAGACCTACTGCTACTACTACTACTACTATAACTACTACTACTACTCTACTACTATTACTACTAGATCTACTACTACTGCTGCTGCTGCTGCTGCTATTACTACTGGATCTACTTCTACTATTACTATTACTACTACTACTTCTACTACTTCTACTACTACTACCTCTACCACCTCTACTACCACAACCACTACTCCCACTACTACTAACTCAACTGCTACTAACATTATGACTGCTACTTGTACTACCTTTACTTCCATTACTACAACAAACATCACTACTACTACTGCTGCTGTTACTACTATATCTACTGCTACTACTACTACTACTACTACTACTACTACTAGATCTACTGCTACTACTACTACTACTAGATCTACTGCTACTACTACTACTTCTACTATTACTGCTACTACTACTGCTAGGGAGACCAAAGTTACAGGCCAGATCTGTGGACAGGCGACCCCGTTCACACTTACAATACCTGTTTTTCTAGGTATGTCTGAGCTATAAAACCTCCTGTAATTGAATAAATGTAAGGTAGAGCTGTTTAATGTCATACTGTGGAACCTTCCAGGCAGAGCAATGACTTCTCCATAGAAACAAAGTGACAGACCCCCAACCAAAATATTACATAGAGCACGTTAAAAGCGTTAGAAGGCTTCTGGACTGCTCTAATGGGGCTCACACTGGGCAGGGCGCTTTCCTACAATGAAATCCACAGTTACACTCACAAAAACACTGACTTCATACCTGTTCATAAACACATAGCTAGATTTTCAAAAATTATAAACTGGGACACCCGCAGTTTGGAGTGGTTGG